AAAATTATACTGATGAATATTTCACTGTAAAGGAATTCGTGTCAAGGGACCCTCCTGTTTACAGGTTAAAAGACTATGATGGCGAAATATTACAGGGAACATTTTTATGATTAAGAGATGCAAAACGTTATTATAGATAAAAACAAAACATTTAAAATGGAAAAGATTTTATCTAGAAAGAAAAGACAAGGCCGGGACATGGTGTTAGTAAAATGGGTCGGATGGCCAGATAAATTTAACTCGTGTATTTTGGAAAAACAGGTCATTCAGATACCTTAGCAGATTACAAACACACGTATAAATGGATACAGAGGATTTTTTTGTCACCCTGCCCAGCAACTCATCTGCATGATTTTACCTGAGCAATACAATAGCAAACTTTAGAACGAAACTATCCAAGCCTTTACACTTTAAATCAGCATACGAGGTGGGTTTGATAGAAATACCAAAACATGGAAATCTTTTTCATCAGAGGACTCAAAATTTGTAGTGTTTGATAAAAAATCCAACAAGAGGGTAGTTCTATCAGCGACACAGGGGTTCTATACAACAATGTCACAGATAATAGCTGAACTAAGTAGTAGAAAACGACATGGGTGACATTGAGCTTGATTTACCAACAGAGTAAGCATTTTACCAACAAGAGATGTAGAATTAACGTTTCAAGGAAAATTTGCACAAATGTTGGAATTTATCCCCGGAGCGGCTTTTAAAACTCACGAGGGAATTTAGATCTCAGCCACGAACTAACACAGTGTTGAGACAGATGCAGTATTTGGCGCCACATCCTGCCGATGTTAATGTAGGGATGTATAATATTTGTTTATACCGATATTGTTGATCATCAAACAGTAGGGGATAGTTACGTCCCTCTTTTAAGAATAGTACATATATCGGGCCAAACAACCATATGATCACAAAAACTTATGACAGACCACACTATCTGAGGCTCTGCAAAACACACATTGATAGTATCGAGATTTTTCTCAAGACAGATCAGAATCAACATATCCCTTTTACGTACGGCAAAGTGATAATAAAGTTACACTTTAGACCTGTAAAATATCAGTATTAGACAAGGAGCAAACATGTACCAACCAAATGCTCACAATGCGGACAAGTACGTTGCATATTATACAGCCCAAGCGGATGCTGATTTACCAGGATATAGCGGGCTCGGTGCTCAGTATGGTGTAGGGTTAGGGGATATCTTTAGGGGTCTGTTTAGATTAGCATTGCCCTTACTCAAGAAAGGATTTACATTTGTTGCCCCTCATTTAAAGACAGCTGCTAAAAACATAGCTACGGATGTTATTACTAACGTCATGAACAGATGTCAAGAGGGGCCTTGGCCCCCCGACCAATAAAACGACCTCCTGGGAAAAGAGGGAGTTCCCCACCAAAGATGCGTAGCCGAACAACAAATAAGACGACCCATACTAAGAGCAGAAAAAAATAAACAAGCAAGGAGAGGCAAGACAAGAGACATTTTCTAACGAGAATGTCGTTGGTACATAGCCTGTGACAAGAGTGCGTTAAGTTGGAGCTAGACCTGTTTATGGTGCCGTTAACACAAACAAGTATTGTTTGTATTGAGAAATGCGTCTACGTCGAATTCCCTCCTCTAGCAGCGATATCAGACTCTGCACCCCTTGAATTTTTCATTCCAGCTAGTACAAAGGACTACTTGGATGTAAACAATACGTTTCTGTACACGCGCGTAAAAATAACCAAAGGTAACGGTGGAAACCTGGATCAAGCAGACGAAGTGGGCTTTATCAACTACCCTTGATGTACAATATTTTCACAGTTTGACATATCATTGGGGGACCGACTCATAATGCAATGATCAAACACATATCCTTACAGGGGTATAATAGAGTGCCTTTTGAACTATGGAAAGGACGCTCTGCAGATACAGTTTGGATCCGGACTATTTTGTATGGATACAGCAGGTCATATGGACAACACAATGGCTGGAGGATGCAATAAGGGACTAGTTAAAAGAATGGAGTACACACAAGGCGGCCACGTAGTGGAGCTAATATCCCCTTTACATTCTGACTTGTTTTTTCAAGACAAGTTACTGATAAATGGGGTTGACCTCAAGATAAAATTCATAAGAGCTAAAAACGAATTTTGCTTAATGCGCAACACTGTAGACGACTTTCGGGTTAACATTAAGTCAGCAAGCCTATTTGTGAAGAAAGTCACAGTATCTCCGGCTGTTAAGCTAGCACATGCTAAGGCATTAATGCATGGCAATGTTAAATATCACATAGACAGAGTCTGTCTTAAAAATTTTAGCGTCCCAACGGGCACTTGTGTTTGTAATCAAGAAAATGTATTCTTGGGACAAATGCCCAAATTTATTGTAGTAGGATTTGTAGATCATGAGGCATTTACAGGTAGTTATGCGCGTAAACCATTTACATTTAACCATTATGATATAGAGTTTTTATGTTTATAGGTTAACGGCCAACAATATCCTTCAAAACCCTTTCAACCCAACTTTACCAGAGGGAATGCCATCAGGGAATATCATCAATTATACTCGGCAACTGGAAAGTATCTTAAAAACAATGCTATGGCCATAACCCACGACGAGTTTTGTAATGGATATAGTCTGTTCTGTTTTAACCTGAGCCCTGATGAAGGATGCGGAGACCATATGTCGGTCATTAAAAACGGTAGTGTTAGATTAGAGGCTCGTTTTAGAAATGCGATTCTCATGCACTCAACTCACAATAAATGAAATATGATTCTATAATTGAGATATCATCAAGAAGACAGGTTCTCATTGACTTTTTCTAACTTTAACAAACGATAGTATGAATACGATAGAACTGTCAAAATAAATAAATAAGCACTGTAAAAAAAAAAGTTTTCACAGAAATATACTGTATTATTTTACAGTTTTTTCAACATTACATATAAATACCATGAAAATACAGAAAAATACTTTTATTAAAAACATTAACCATAAAATAAAAGTCTGTATATTCATATAATGAGAAATTATAGTTTTTTTTTTTTTACAGGATTATTCCATTGCTTAATTGCCCTGAATGTAAAGTTACATTGAATTCTATGTAAAAAGACAAAGAAATTCACATATTTAAAATTAAGACAACTTTCTGTTTTTTTAGTGTGAAACTTTAAATTTAAGGTAAATAAATGTAAAAAAACAATCGTAAAATAATGGTAAAAAGTCTGGCAGCAAAAGTTGCCAAACACTTACCGTAAAATTACAGTAAAGAACCATAAATTATTCTACGGAATAATACTGTTTTTAAATGCAGATATTTACTGTAAACATTGTCTATATTTTTACAGTCCAACTGCTGTAAAATGAAAAGAAAATCTCATTTAAAAAACGTCTGTAAAATGTTAAACAAATATAAACTGAAAAATATTGCAGAAATACCTTAAAATTACACAATTAAAATGTTTCTGCTGTTTTTACACAGTATTCTTTGGTAAATTCATAAGATTATCTATTCCATCCACAAAAACTCCTTGTCAAAGTACAGATTTTTAGATTTAAAACACAAAAAAATTATAAAAATATTCCTTAAAATACCGTGTTTTAAAACCCATTAACAGTATCTTGAAAGCTTTAGGCTTTTATTTTATGGGATTATCCAATCTATTAATAGTAAATTCCTGTTAAATTTAGTTTTTAAACTGTAGAATAAATAAGATCACGTGATAATAGCTTGCAAAACCCTATTTTTATAGAGATTACTTTATATAAACAATATTTGACAGTAATTAAAAGCAACTATCCAATATATCTACGAACTTTTCCCATAAATGTATGGAGTTTACTTTGAATAAACATACTTTTATAGTAATTACAAGCAACTATCCAATATATCTACGAACTTTTCCCATTAATGTATGGAGTTTACTTTGAATAAACATACTTTTATAGTAATTACAAGCAACTATCCAATATATCTACGAACTTTTCCCATTAATGTATGGAGTTTACTTTAGAGACATTCATAGGCCATTTGAGGCTAAAAAGACCTATTCTCATTAGGTCTTGATGCACAGCTTACTGGTGTTTGGGCTATATATCAAATGGTCATAAAAAGTGTATTTGTTGTCCCATCTTGGTTCACTCAAAAAACTGAACTGTTTTAGGTTCGTTAAAAGCAAAAAAATGTAATGAACTTGTATAAGAGTAACACAATGAATGTCAATTGATCCAACTAAAAATAAAAAACTTCTGATCAACAATATATTTAAGCTTACCTTTCAATATTTTATTTGGAGTAGTAAAAATATACATTTATGTTCAATTAATTAAAACATTAGGTTTTCATTCAATATTTTTTTTCCAAATTAGATTGACACAATTCAAATGTTTGTCAACTGGTCCCACACAAATCAATTTCAACTTAATCATCATTTTGGTGCAATTGGTGAAAAAAAATAATACAGCATAATAAAAAATTGTTTGCAAAATAATGTTAGTTGTCAACAATTTTGATGATGCATTGCCTAGAATTCTGCCTATTCTGTAGAATACTCCAAATAATTGGATGGCTCATTCATAGAGTTTGTTCTTGAGCATCTGTACCTTGGTTGATAGTTTGCTAGTGTTACGACCTGGCTCAAAAAGCCACAACAAAAGGGAGACACACCATGGTAAAAGTTTAACAATATAGGTTTATTTAAACCAAAGTATTTCAAACTAACATTAAAGTATGAGGTATGTAGTCAGTGGTTTCAGTAGTGTCTGTGCATGGTTGCATGGGTGTATGTGTGACGGTGTTGTAGCATGCAAACAAGACAAATACCACAACGCAACAGTCCAAACAAAGAAAACCAAACTAAATGGAAAACCAGGGAGCCAGCCGCAGGGAGGTCTGACCTGGTTTTGACAGCAGCCCTCTTTGCCGAATGCGAAAACAATCCCAAATACTCTACAGGGCAATTAGCCCAGGTGCCCAGAGCCACTGCAATCAGCTCCTCCTCCTCCTCCTCCGAGAGAGAGAGCGCAAGAGAGACAGGCCACACTCATGACCCCACAGGGTGTCACACTAGCTTCTAGTTGAAAGAATCACTTGTGAAGTACCTCAAAGGAAGGCTTTAAGGTTCTGAGGATAACGGAGGTTCAGTGCATAATTACACCTATTAAGAGTGCACTTGTAGAGGCGGTGTCTCCCAAGTCATGCAGAACTTCAGCACCCTCGGTGACTATCCCAACATCAGCTGGAGGAGTGGTGGCATCACCTCCCTCAACACGGATGCTGTAAAGATAACTTGTCCAAGCTCCCTCGGAACAGCTGTAGCATCAGATCCTTTACATAGGACAGAAAGAAAGTAGAAAAACAAATTATGTAATCAAACAGATTTTGCTGAATTCTAAAGAGTAATATTTGCATTTCAGGTGTCCCTTATTTAATGATTTAACAAAAATAGCATGATACAGTGCTATGTGTTTAAAAATTACAAGATGAAGTAGTGCTGGTGAATTAAATATTAGATACAATGGTGTATTATTTAATATACCTCACCAAGCACTTTATTTGGAGGGTGTGCAGTCTACTGCAATCCAACAGCTCTGCCATAAATTTTACTTTTACTAAGCTTAGATATTGAACAAGTGTTTCTATTATTCTGCCCCCCTCATGTATGTCAATGGGGTAGACAATATTAGGAAAACTTTTAAATATAATGCACTCCAGTACACCACCCACTATGAAATCAGTAATAACAGAATGTATGACAGTTGTCATTTTTGATTGCATTAGACAGCAGATGTTCCTGATAAAATGCATTGTGAGTGTATATATTAGATTTCCCAAAAGAGACAAAAAACAAACTGGTTTTCTGCAAATCGTTAGAAAGTAACAAGATTACAGTTGTGGTCAAAGGTTTACACACACTTCTAAAGAACATACACGTCATGGCTGTTTGGGTTTCCAATAATAACTACAACGCCAATCTTTCGGTGATGAATCATTGTCACAAAAACCGTCATGAATTTTGGTACTTTTATGAATTTATTATGGGTCTTCCGAAAATGTGACCACATCTACTGGGTTAAAAATATACATAGAGCAATGTTAATATTTGTTTAAAAGTCCCATTGTCATTTTTACCTCAATTAGACACTTTTGGTAGCCATCCACAAGCTTCTGGTTGAATCATTGACCACTACTTGATAGATTTGGAGCAGTTGACAAACAGACTTGTTTCTTCAAAATAGTTCACATGTTCTCGATTGGGTTTAAGTCAGGTATGGAGGGGTACTGTTTAAAATTTTACGATACCAGTACCAAAAAAACTTCTTCTACAGTAAGAAGTACAAAACGAGTAAGCAGTAGGGGTGTGTATCTTCACTGGCCTCACGATTCAATTCAATCACGATTATCAGATCAACAATTTGGTACCTCATTACGATTACGAGGCTACAATGCGACTGTAAGACAAAAGTATTTGTAACAAATCAAACAAGTAGGTAGTAATGAAATGCAGATATTTAATGTTACTTCATATAAATGCAGTTAACATTGCATAGCATTATTACAGCATTATTACTGACTTCTTTTGCTGATATTTTTTATTTTTGATGCTGCTGTTATTAGTATAGAGTCAGATTTTAAGCACTTTACAATGCTCCAGCCAAATCATGTGTACTCCACCTTCATATATCTGATCCTTTGTTTGGGGTGGTGTGACGCACGTATGGTATGACGCACAGGAGACCCGGGTTCAAGTCCCATCTGTGACACCAACGTGTCCCTTCCCTGAGCAAGACACTTAACCCCTAGTTGCTCCAGAGGCGTGCGACCTCTGATCTAAATAGCAATTGTAAGTCGCTTTGGATAAAAGCATCAGCTAAATGAATAAATGTAATAGTCTAGTTACGTTTGTTTCACTCTTCCTTGGTTGCGCGCGTTAGACTGTGTGGCTTGATCTGCTGGGTTCCGATCTTAACCGTGCGTCTGGAGACTCTGCAGAGGCAGCCGTTGGCCCCGTGTTCACGACCAGCTAGAAGCTGGTGTGGTGAGGAGCGCCGATCTCCACATGTGCCTCACCAGCGTGGCGGGAGCCGTAGAGACTGTATTGTGTTGCATATTTTCTGTTGAACATCTTAATTAATTTACTTTACATAACAAACCCCATATTGTCTCTAATGGGAGCAGAGATCGCCTTCACCTTTTTTGTTACCAACTTGGAATAAATACATTAACTTGACACATGTTTTGGGTCATCCTTTGTTTTTCCCACCCGATTTATTTATCTCTTTGTTAGTCCCCCACCCCTAGACAAGTAACAAGGGATGTAACAAGCTGTCTGTTTTTTGTTTCTTCATTTCAGCCAAAATCACGATTCACAATTAATTTTCATGTATTTAATGGCAGTTGGCTTTTACTGCCATGAAATACGTGTTCTTTACAAGTGTATGTAAACTTCTGACCACAACTGTAATATTTGGTTTAATGCAGGTAGTAACTACTGAAATTACCAACCGGGTATACTTTGAAGAGGATGTTTGGGTCTTCATCAGGTAGAAACCAATTGCCCTGAGGATGATCTCCCTCCTCTTTTCAACAGTTGCTAGAGAGACAAAAACAATACAGAAATACTTAAGGACTGCACATACACACATACTACACATTTCCAGTGATGTTAATGTTATGTGTCCTACATCTTTGATTTTATTAAATTCTGAAAGGACACAAACTTGTTATGAACATGTCCAGGGAGGTACACCCTCCCCCATTGCTACATTGTGAACAAATCTGTGTTGAAAACATAATAAACAAAAGAAACCTTGCTGTCAAATAAATTATGTTATTATCACGGTGAAGCCTTTGCCCTGCTCTCTGTGTCAGGGCTGAGCGTCTCCACATAGACGCAAACACAGAGCCAACTTAATGGCCAGCAGAGAGGCCACAGGTAGAAACCTTCGTGAGCAAAAAGCCAGTATGTCATCAATACACCTGTTTAAAAAGCGCATTGTATGTTGAGAAGCAAACTTTCTATTGCTCATTCCAAATGTCAATATATCCGATCCCTAAACATAGCTCTGGTCATTGATGTGTGTTTAAATAGTGAGGCAACTGCAAACAAAAAATATTTGTTTGAAAGTGGCACAAATGTTGCTGATTAGGCTTTGTGAGCAACAATCAAATCCCAATAGTATACTCATCAGGGTGCATACACAGATGTTTTGGGTTTCTGTTTACTACTCTCTATACGTGTCAGAAGAGACGAGTCAACATCAACTTATTATTCTATAATGTTTTCTACCAATTGCAAAACATACCTTTGGGCCAAAAGTATGCGAAGTTCCCTTCCTGCAGAGCCTCCTTTCTTCTTCAACACACTGAGGAGATTGGAAGTGTGTTTGTCTATGAACTTTGAGACAGTGGAGCAGTGGAAATCCTCAGAAATTCCACCTAGAAACATATTCCACAAGCACAACATATTATTGGTAGTTGAAGAGCAGCCTTATGCGCTCTCCTTTACCTGGGAAAGGGAAGAGGATGAAATAAAGTCTTGGAAATTCAGAGAGAAAAAGAGGCACACTTTCGTAATTTGTAGCATTACACTGACCTAAAAGCCATGTCTACTCTGTGATGCCCTCCCCCCCAATTTATAATAACAGATAGCTTGCACAGCTTTAGGCTAATACTGACTCATTAAAGTTCATAAACACTTCAAACCATTGGCTCAATACAACACTAATAAAAGTCCAAAATATCTGTTTGTTAAAAATTAAAATGACCTGTTTTTACTGCAAACACGTAACTTTTGCATTTATTACGACCAGTAAAATAAGCCTGATATCTGAAAGTATAGACAGGAACACAAGAGTAAAACTAATCTCTCCAAATCAAAGACACTGTGTTACAAAAGCAGCCTATGAAGAGCTAAAGCTTAAGAGCTTAAACACAGACATGTAAAAACAGCTTTCTCTATGGACACCACAGCACAGGCTGAGGTGTTGAAGCGCCTGTAAACAGTGTTGCTATCGACAGCAGAGGGTTCAAGTGTTCACGGATTGGCAGGCTCGGCGGGATAAAAGCCTATCAACCTGAGTCATGCAGCAATGTTAGCTAGCTAACACATGTCTCCAAGAACCACCTCCCTAGGCTAGTTAACCTGACCTGACTGCTTATTCACCCGAAAAATGCAGGACACCTTCTATCACAAACACAAAATACAATCATGCTCAATATGAAAATTCTACAAAAACAGGTACGGGTAAAAAGAACAGGTCCTTATATCTTACAACTTCCAAAAACGAAGACCATGAGCAACTAGTCCGCCAAAATTAACTCAGAAGAAGCAGTCAAGTGGTATCGCACATGTGCTAGCTGAAATCTTCTTCTTCTTCTCCTTCTTTCGGTATGACGGCAGCTGGCGCTGCACCACTGCCACCTTCTGGATGTAACAAGTATTCAATCTAATCAGTTTTATTTAGCCTCAATTCATAACAAAGGTAATCTCATTGCACTTTTCATATAGAGCAGGTCTAGGATATTATTTAACAGGTAGATACCTCAAGCAGAACACAGTATCTGGGTGGTTCGGCCATATGCTTCAATGTCAACCCTAATTCACTGTTGTGATTAAACAACACTTTCATATTTTGCACAGATAGTGCGATTAGATGGACTTTAAGTATTTGAGAATTATGTATACTGCCTCCCCACCCCCTTCTCCCACCACACACTTCAGCACGGTGGTCTCATATGTAGGCCTACTGTGTGTAAATATGTGTGTGTTAGTGTTTTACCTCTGAAAGCACCACATATAAGTGCCAACTCCAAGGAGTTAGACTTGTATTTAACTTATCAATTATGTGAAGAAGGGTTAACAGGCTGTATGAGCCTACAACTAGCCTGAACACCATCACTGCATCGCCTCAGCCACTCCACAGCTCAACTAGGCAACCCACCAGCAAGTGCTCTTTGGATTAATCAATGTTATAATTTGAAGAGATTGTAATAGAGTAATGAATAAACCTCTTGCATCACTACTATCCTAACATGTTAGCAGTCACCATATTTGGGTTCACAGTCATTAGGGACGATCTATCTGCCTCATTCCACTTTCTTGGAGGCAATGGGTTCATGATCCCCCAAGTCTACAGTGTATTTCAGATGTTGGACTACAAATTATATTGTGCCCACTCTGGCTTCTGATGTCTGATATTTAAGTCTACCTGACCAATAGGTACTCTGCTGTGCTTCCCTTCAGACTGTAGCCTTCTGAATGATTTGTTTTTCACTGCGTGAGAAGATTGATGTGTGGCGCTTAACACTAACCTACACAGTGCGATTGAGAGCTCAGCAAGTCTGAGAGAATAATGGACCTGTACCACGTGAACAGGTGAGCAGCCAGCCTCCTGTGTGAGTCCGGCGTGACTGAAGTAACAGCGTGAGAAGACGACCTCTGTTGTCGTCAGCGCTCGGTCGGTTCAGTTTGTCATTTGCTAAGTGATTTTAATAAATAAATAGGCCTCCACAATCCCTTTTGTCCTAGAGGCGTCCTACAGAATATTTCTCTTCATCCCAAACATATTTTCTATCGTCCCCAGGACAACAGGTCACTGTTGAGCCCTGGTTATTAGTTAATTTGGCGAACTGTATATTAACGAATCATACACAGATTAAAATGTTTGGGTACTTTTCGTTCAGCCTATATACACTGTTTCGACCTGACCTTTATTTTCTTTGTGAGATGGAAGAATTTAGAAAGTTGCGCGACCACTGACCGTCCAGTACGCCGGTTCCACTGGCAACTCAACCCATAGTAGGGTTACCGGAGAGGGCGAGGGAGAGGAGGTCGCGGGAGCGACCTGGTGCACTGTGGAAGGTTGGTGATCATTCCCTTTTGGATGAAGCCTGACGCAGACAGCTGTTGCAAACAACAGGGGCATGTGTACAGCAGCCAGTTAGCTTGAAAACCAGTAGGGATGCAACACTGGTCCTATATAGAACAAAACACAGCTGCTTTGTTTTCTGTTTTGGTTTTAAAACCAAATAATGACTTGTTTTTGGATGGGACATTGTTGTAAAATGTCAGAAAAATGTATGTATTTAGTGAAAAAGTTGTTGATGCAAATGCTTTAACATAGACCTTCTGGTTTTTGTACATTCAAAACACCATATACTAATAGCGAACGTGTGCACATAAACTGGAATGTTGCTTGTAATTACTGTCAAAAAATGTTTATATGAAGTAAATCCCATGCACTAATAAGAAAAGTCTGTAGATATATTGGAGTTGCTTGATATTACTGTCAAACAGCATTTATATAAAGTAAACCCCATGCATTAATGTAAAATGTCTGTACATACACAGTTGCTTGTAATTGCTATCAAATACTGTTTACATAAAATAAATGTATTTTTACATATATTGGAGAATTGCTTGCATTACTGTCAAATAATGTTTATATAAAGTAAACCCACATACATTAATGGTAAAAGCTTGTAAATTTATTAGAGATGTGTCTGTAATTACTGTCAAATAATGTTTATATAAAGTAACCCCCCGTATTTAAATAGTAAAAATATGTAGAAATATTGGAGAGTTGCTTGTAATTACTGTCAAATAATGTTTATATAAAGTAAACCCCCATACATTAATGGTAAAAGCTTGTAAATTTATTAGAGATGTGTCTGTAATTACTGTCAAATAATGTTTATATAAAGCAATAACTGTTAAAATTATGTTTCTGTAACTTAATATCACATGAACTTGGTTTTTTGTACAGGATAAAACCAATATTTAACAGGAATTTACTGTAAATTGATTGAATGATGGCATAAAATAAAAGTTTAAATCTATTAATATACTGGTATTGGGCTTTAAATTAGGGTATCTGAAGGTAAATTTACAACATTTGCTTTACATAGAAAAGTCTTTACTTTGACAAGGAGTTCTTGTAGATGGATTGGATTATCTTAAAAATATACCAAATAATACTGTATTAAAACAGCAGTCTTCGTTGTAATTATGTAATTTTAAGGTATTTCTGCAATATTTTTAAGTTTTTATACAGATTTATACATTCGTTTAACATTCAACAGAGAATTTATTTAATGAGATTTTTTTTTCTTTTTACAGCAGTTCGGCTGTAAAAATACAGAAAATGTTTACGGTAAATATCCGTTTTCAAAAAAAAAATTTTCTGTAAAATAATTTAAGGTTTTTTACTGTAATTTGACGGTAAGTTGTTGGCAACTTTGCTGCCAAACTTTTTACTGTAATTTTACGATTTTTTTTTTTTTTTTACAGTGTAAGGTAGTGAAGCAAGGCGTCTTTCTTGGAGTATATGCTATTGACCAGCTTCCTAAAACAGTTATTAAAAAGAGACCCACCATGTTGGTGGTAAACACAGACCCCTCCCACCTGGGAGGACAACACTGTGTCGCTATCTATACTGACAAGCAGAGTCACATTTTCACATTTTCCTGAATCCTTTTCTGTCTTTCTCAATAATTGTAAGTCTACGCAACATTCTATTAGACAAGTGCAAGATGTGGATTCTGTAGTGTGCGGTCAGCCTTGTGTGTTTTTTCTTTACCTCGGTTGTATGTGGTCAAAATAATTATGCAGACTGTAACCAGTGTGTCCAAGTATCAGATTCTTTTAAGTGTGTATAATAATATTAGAAGTTGTGTGCCGTTCATTATCAAAATGATTTATAGATTGAAACGTGTACGATAATGTTTTTTGTTATTATGGTGATATAAATAAAAACACTTGAAATGATAAAGTTATGTCTATGTATTTATTTAAAACCAATAACGATATACAATTAAAAAGTTATCCAATCATTCAATCGCATTTTAGGAGATACAAAGGGACTTGTTTCATTGTTTTCTAATCGATGCCCTCTGGTAACAAGAGGTGTAGATGGTGGTCCAGTAATAAGAGGAGAAGATTCTCCAGAAGTCTTTCTCTTAATCTCGTAAATTTTTCTTTTGACCTGTTGATTTGGTACAACTGATAAAGGTATATTCAATATAGCCAATGATTGCAGATATTCATCCCAACCTGTAGGTCTCTGGCTGTCAGACACATTGTGAGAAGCAGTCACTCCTCCTATCAAATCAGACACGAGACCCTTTAATAACATTACCGTGAAACACAAACTCCCCACGTTCAGTCAATGCAGATATGTTTTTTGACGAGGACATTTTATCCAAAATATGCTGAGCTTTATTCCTGCTGTTTTTTGGCATGTTTTTTAAAACTTTTTCAAAAACAAAATCTCTTCTTTCTTGATTCTTCTGCTCTGAAGAGCGAAAATCCTCAGCGACCGGCATTGACAAAGTTAGAGTGTTCTGTTTTTTTTCTCCTTGTTTTACCATGGTGAGAAATCTCTGCAATGCGATGGAATATTTTTTTGCTTTTTCATGAAGATCTTCAGTCTTTTGATCCAGAATGTCTTTTATAGTACGATCCAGGTCATTTTCAACAGTTTCTCGAATTCACTCGTGTGCTGGAGGTCTTCTTAAAAGATCAAGCTGTTTAGGTACCAGAAATATTTTTTGTGCATACTCCATAGTCATCTAAGCTTGTCTTGAACCAATAAGACTCGTTATAAAAAGCACAGCGATACTCAGGAGGGGGAGAAGAAAACCGCCAGACTGTTTAAGCAACGTCTTCTTTTTCTTTGAAGCGCAAACCTTTTTATTGCCAAGCAGTCTAATCCCCGCCTTCTTCTTTTTAAATTTTTGATACTGTGTCTTATTTAAAGAAATTTTACCTTTAAAAACATTGTGAGCGATTTCACATAACGCTACCAAAAGGTCTGGTGAAGCAGATTTATTAATATTCACTCTCTGTGATGGAGATGCTCCGTGCATAATTTGCAGTAAAGAACGGTTTCTTTTAATGCAATCAGACATATTTACTATCTCTGAGGCACATACACAACAGGCAGGTCTGAAAGAAATTCAGTTCTGTGTCTGAAATCGTCAGGTGTCTTAGCTTTAAAAATCAATCATCAAGTAACCGTAAGGAACACTCGTGGCATCCTTGAAACAATCCATAAAAAAAAACTCTTCCCAGGAAACATTTGTCTAGCCATTAGCATGACTTGGTATTTATCTCTGGGATTTTTAAACAAAACAAGATAATTGGTATTCAAATTAATAGTACGGCTAACTTTGCCTTGAAAAAACAAATTCTGAACTAGGTATAAACAACTTAAATTTCTATGAT